GTTCAAACCCTTGGGCTGGGAAGGTGGCTCAGTGGTAGAACGCTTGCCTTGCATGCATGAGGCCCTGGGTTCGATTCCCCGGCACCACATAAGCAAAAAGAAAAAAAAGCCAGAAGTGGCGCTATGGCTCAAGTGGTAGAGCACTAGCCTTGAGCTGAAGAGCTGAGGGACAGCGCCCACACCCAGAGTTCAGGCCCCACGACTGGACCCCCCCCCAAACCCTGCCTAGGCAGAAAAATTTGTGAGACCCTTCAATGAACCAGCAAAATGTTGGAAGTAGAACTGTGGCTCAAGTGGTAGAGTATCAGTCTTGAAGAGGAAAGCCAAGGGAAAGGACTCAGTCTCTGAGTTCAAGCCCCAGTACTGGTGCACACATACACCCACAAAGAAAAGGGGGTAAAGGGGAGGTGGAGTCAGGGGTTGAGACTAGAATGAGAGCGGCTTTTGGGGGATGCAGAACCCTGGGCTGCAGGTTCAGAAAGAGTGGCTCAGAAAAGAGTACAGATGGAAACACAGAACAAAGGAGGAGTAAGAGGTTCCAATCAGACAGACTGGTGAGCCTTGGAGAAAGGAGTTGGAGGAAAATCTCAGCACCATCACGCCTGGGAAGTTTGTATCCTGATTTCCTGTGGTATCATCATCTTCATTCTAAGCTGTGGCAGAGGGGAGTGGGGACATGTGGGCACAGAGGGAGCTTGTGCTTTGAACTCCCACGGGGCATGAATGGCAGGAGATTCAATCTGGCTGAGCTGTAGTTGGAAGTTTGAATATAACCCTTAAGTGTCCTGGGGAAGCCCTGGAGGATTTTGAACAAAGGACAGCACAGCATGGACCCTTTGCTTCTTAAGTCTTTACCTCTCACTGGCAAATGGGAGTGTGTATACAAGAAGGACTGAGAAAGGAGGTGGGATCCCAAAGAGACAGTCAGGGCAGAGCCTCAGGTAAGGGGAAGGAAGAGAGATGGGAGTGCAGGGGCTTCTTTAAGCCTGTACTGGACTGAAGGGCTGGTTGGGGCAAGAGGGAATTTGCAGAATCAAGCCCTAGGGCTCTGGAGGTAGGGGCCTGTGATGCTGGAGTGTAGCAGCCCCTTTTGCCCCACCTTACCTCTGAGAGATTGAGGAGAGAGACAGAGAGACAGGAACATGGGAAATTTATTTTTTTTTTTGTGGGGGGGGGAGGTCTGGTCGTGGGGCCTGAACTCTGGGCCTGGGCGCTGTCCCTCAGCTCTTCAGCTCAAGGCTAGCACTCTACCACTTGAGCCACAGTGCCACTTCCGGCTTTTTTCTTTTTGCTTATGTGGTGCTGAGGAATTGAACCCAGGGCCTCACGCATGCAAGGCAAGCACTCTACCGCTGAGCCACCTTCCCAGCCCCAACCTGGGAGTTTTAATAAGTACCTAGATGCCAGGTGCCAGTGGCTCACACCTGTAATCCTAATCCTAGCTACTCTGGAGGCTGAGATATGAAGATAAGGATTCAAAGCCAACCTGGACAAGAAAGTCAGTGATGGTCTTCTCTCCAATTAACCACCAGAAAGCCAGAGGTAGAGCTGTGGCTCAAATTGGTAGAGAGCTAGCCTTGGGCAAAATGAGCTCAGGGACAATGCCCAAGCCCTGAGTTCAATCCCCATAACCACCAAAAATTAAAAAGAAAAAAAAAAAGTACCTGTAGAAGTAGCAGTCAGAGAAAGAAGAGAACCTTGGACAGTCACTGCCCGGTTTTAGGTTTGGACAGGAACCAGATCCCTAATGTTCTTCTCCCATTGCTGAAAACCATGTAGGAGACCCATGCTGTGCTGCAGAGATGATTATTAAACCTATTTTCCAAAAGAGGAAACAGGTGCCCTGGGTCACCCAGCCACTGATTAGCATGGCGGTTATAACTCCCCACAACAGAAACCAGGGAGGCCCAGGCTGGTCCCTGGGGCTGGGGGTGGGCCACGGCACGTACCTGGAATGAGCCTGATGCTGGGCCCTTGCTTGCCTGCCCACAGCGCCTGGCACATGAGTGCCTTTCACAGAGCTGTGACAGTGCCAAGCACTCTCCGACGCTGGTGCCCACAGCCACCAAGCCTGATGCTGTGCAGCCGGACAGCCTGCCTTACCCGCAGTACCTGGCAGTCATCAAAGCTCAGATCGCCTGTGCCAAGGACATTCACACTGCCCTGCTGGACTGTGCCAACAAGGTCACGGGCAAAACGCCTGCACCCCCTCCTGGACCTGGGGGCCCCATCTGAGGTCTAGGGTGAGCAGTAAGGCTGCTTGGGGTGGGTGGGTGGGTGGGAGGTTAAGAGAATGAAGAGGTAAACCTAAGCCAAAGCTGCAGTGTCTTGATTTTTTTCTTCCCACCTAGCACTGACCAGCAGGTGGCAGCAGAGGCCACATGCTGACTAAGGGCGGAACCTCGCCTCTGCCTGGGCCTCTAGCTTCCCTCCCAGGCCTAGCCTAGACTTTGAAAGGCAACTTGATGACCTGTTGTGTTCTTGGGGCGCATCTTACCCCCCCACCCCGCCCCGATCTGGCTGGGGCATGATGTCCTGGCTCAGCCCTTCTCATTCCCTGTGTCTTTCTGTCTGAGCATGGCTGCTCTTTTCTCTAGGTGTTCCTCCATCTTTCAACATCATTCTGTCTTTCTGACTCTGCCGCTACCCTGTATTTGTGTCTGCCCTCACAATCTTATGTCTCCCTGCCTCTCTCCGCCAGTCCCCATTTTCCATCTACTTCCCCCCAACTCCTTCCCTGGGTCTAGGAGAGGAGCTTCCCCTTTAGGGGCCACAACCAAGCCCAGGACCCTCAGCCCCAGCACCCCTCCTCCTGTGTAACTAAGCTGCTGTGGGGTGGTTGGCCCAAGAAAGGAGAAGTGGAGATTCTCGGCCCTGACCTCTGCACTGCTGATAGGGGAGCAGCTGGGGCCCCCCGCCCATACCCTCGCGTCAGCAGAACTCCAGTGAGGCACATTGTGAAATGTGTGGGGAGGCCCGGCCCAGATGGATGCCTGGGTCTCTGTATTTTTAGCCCTAAAGGAGAAGTGAAAAGGCACTGGCAGGGTGAATCATCCTCTGTCCTGGGGAAGAACCCAACTCCGGGAAGCAGGGCCCCACCAGCACCCCTACTTCCCGGCCAGCTTCAGGGAGCTCAGCCATAGCCTTCAGGCCTGGGCAAGTGCTACACAGAGCTGCCCGCCCAGGCACAGCTGTCAGACTGTGAGAGGCCACAGTGACTCAGCCTGGTTGGGTAACTGTCCTGCCCAGCACCTTCCATGCTCTGGTCCCCCTTGTCACCACCCAGCAGCCTCCTACCCTGGACCCTGCCTGCAAGTGAGCTCCAGACCTCTTGAGCTTAAGGCCCACCATGGTGAGGGGTGGGGGCTGGTACCATCTGATGAAGTCTCTTCCTTAGAAAGAAACCTTAGTTCTCCTTCTATCCAGTGAAATCAGTCCCCACTTGGCCCACCTAGAAAAGTCAATCCATTATGGGCCATCATCATCATGAGAGGATTGCAAGTTCAGAGCCAGCCTGGGCTATTAGGAAGGCCTCATCTCAAATAGCATCTTTACAGTATCACCTAGGTGAATATGTGGTAGAATGAGACTGTGGTCCAGTCCCGGTGACACACACTGACCAGTCCTTGTCCCCTGGGCATCACATAATCCTCAATTACAAAGTGGTATTTCTGACAGCTCTCATTCACCTAAAAAAAAAACCTAACCAAATTCACCTGCAGGAGGCTGGCTCAGGCCTAGCTACTCAGGAGGCTAAGATCTGAGGATCATGGTTCAAAGCCAACCCAGGCAGGAAAGGCCATGAGACTCTTACCTCCAATAAACTACTCAGAAAAAGCCAGAAGTAGTGCTATGGCTCAAGTGGTAGAGTGCTAGCTTGGAGCACAGAGAGACTCAGGGAGAGCACCCAGACCGTGAGTACAAGCCCCAGGATTGGCAAAAACAACAAACTAAAAAAAACCACACATGAACTCTGCCTCCAAAAGAGCCCACCAGCATCCAGCTGGCACACATAGAATGTGCTGGCAAGGATGTGTTTTAGTCTGTGGGCACATTTAGAGAAAGACAGGTACAGCTGGCTCTAGGAGCCGTGTCACCGTGACACAGGTGCAGGCAGTAATATCCCAAGCCCAGCCTAAAGCCATACTCAGGGCCACCCAGGGTGGTGGCATGATGCATGCTCATCCCACACCTCCACAGTGGAAGATGGGCACTGCAAAGCTATATTCATTCAACCATCACCAAGTTTCTTTGTAGGCCAAGCCCCCATGGGAGATGAAGAGCCCTGGAGTTCATATTCTTTTTTGGGGGGGGGGACGGGGAAGGGGGGTCCGGTCGTGGGGCCTGAACTCTGGGCCTGGGCACTGTCCCTCAGCTCTTCAGTTCAAGGCTAGCACTCTACCACTTGAGCCACAGCGCCACTTCCAGCTTTTCTCTTTTTTGATTATGTGGCGCTGGGGAATCGAACCCAGGGCTTCATGCATGCAAGGCAAGCACTCTACCACTGAACCACCTTCCCAGCCTGAGTTCATATTCTTATGCTCAAGGCTGGTGCTCTACCACTTGAGCCACAGCTCCACTTCCAGCTTTTGGTGGTTAACTGGAGATGAATCTCATGGAGGGTGCTATCCAGGCTGGCTTTGAATCTGATCCTAAGATCTCAGCCTCCTGAGTAGCTAGGATGACAAGTATGAGCCACCAGCACCCAGCTTGAAGCTCACATTCTAATGCGATGCCATATTGTCAAGTGGATATTTGCAGATGCAGCAGAAAAGTGGAGAGCTATTGTGGAGGAAAAAAAGAAATTATTTAAGATTAAAAGGTTAGGGCTGGGAAGGTGGTTCAGTGGTAGAGTGCTTGCCTTGTATGCATGAGGCCCTGGGTTCAGTTCCTCAGCACCACATAAGCAGAAAAAGCTGGAAGTGGTGCTGTGGCTCAAGTGGTAGTACAAGGCTTGAGCTGAAGAGCTGAGGGACAGCACCCAGGCCCAGAGTTCAGGCCCCACAACTGACAAAAAAAAAGATTAAATGTAGTTTAAGAGATTCAGAAGAAATTTATGCCTGAGCATGATTACATATGCCTATAATCCCAGCATCTGAAAGGATTGTTCAAAGCCAGTCTAGGCTGTACATTGAGAGACTATTTCAAAAAGTGAGTTTTTATATTGGATTAGAGTTTTTTGTGTTTGTTTGTTTTTTTCCCCCAGTCCTGGGGCTTGAACTCAGGGCCTGAGCACTGTCCCTGAGCTGCTTTTGCTCAAGGCTAGCACTTCACCACTTGAACCACAACACCATTTCTGGCTTTTTCTGTTTATGTGGTACTGAAGAGTTAAACCCACTCCATGCATAGTAGGCAAGCAGTCTACTACTAAGCCACATTCCCAGCCCCAGACTTCAGTTTTTGACTGGCTTTTTTCCTCCTGGCTGGTGCTCTACCACTTGAACCACACCTCCACTTTTAGCTTTTTGCTGGTTTACTGGAAGAGTGATTTGCTTGCTGAGGCTAGCTTTAAACCTTATGCTCCTTATTAAATCTTGGGTGGCTTGAACTCTGGGTCTGGGCACTGTCCCTGAGCTCTTCAGCTCTAGGGGAGCGCTCTACCACTTAAACCACAGCGCCGCTTCCAGTTTTCTGG